CAGGTCATTCAGTTGCATCCCTCTAGAGTTCTTGACCACAAGGCTGAATGGGTGCTTTATAATGAGTTAGTTCTAACAACAAAGAATTACATCTGGACATGTACAGATATCAAGCCAGAATGGCTGGTGAAAATTGCCCCTCAATATTATGACATGAGCAGTTTCCCACAGTGTGAAGTAAGGAGGCAGTGGGACTACATTATTGCCAAACTTCAATCCAAGGAATAGTCACAGTACTGAATTCCATACTTAGAACTGAAGTTATTCAGAGGAGAGCTTCAAAAGATGAATGAATTCAAAAGTTCAAGTTGTGCTCTTCCCGTAGGTTCAATAATGGCCTTTAGGCCGGCTGTGGTGATGCACGCCTGTAATCCTACCGACTCAGGAGGCTGAGACGGGAGGATGGCAAATTCAAAGTGAGCTTCATTAAGGCGAGGCATCAAGCAATTCAATTAGACCCTGTGTCTAAATAAGATATAAAATAGGGCTGGGGCTATGGCTCAGTGTCAAGTGCTTCTGAGTTCATTCCCTACTACCAAAATAATAATAATAATAATAATAATAATAATGGCCTTTATTCGAAAGCTTTTTAATTTTTCTTTGCAGTAAGTATTCCAATTTGATTTCATAGATTTAAACATTTATGCCTCCCCTTTGTGAAGACATGCAAGGTCATTGTAATTGTTGAGATTGATTTTAGAAGTTGTAAAATGTTACATCTTCTGCTTATGTAAATACAATCTTCTGTCTCAGTACATAGGCAGTTACTTTTAAAAAGTCTATTATACTAAAAAAAAAAAAAAAAAAGAAAAGAAAAGAAGGTGAAATGAGGAGCAGATATGAGTGTCCTGGATAGCTGAAGCTGAGGCACACCCAGGTATCCCACTGCAGCTCAGGTTGAGTCTGGACAATGCTGACTTAAGGTCATTGTTTTGGAATGTCATGAAGGAAGGGAAAGGGAAAGATTGTCCTCCCTCAGAATCTCTCCCTTGGTTCCAAGACTACCTTGTGAGAACTCTCCATGTAAAATAGTTCTTTTTATGGTTCCTATTCCCAGTCTCTCTCTCTCTCCCTCTCTCTCTCTCTCATCCCAAAGAACAAAATTCAGAGTGAGGTGGAAAATGTCCAGATAGAGTTTGGAAAACTGAGAGACATCCTGAACTCTGAGGAGGAGCAGGAGATTCAAAAGCTGAAGAACAAGGAGGAAGTTATTATGAACAGCCTGACAG